TTTTGCGGTGGTCTTGTCTTTCTTTCCGGTTGTGAACTCCTGGAAGAAGTTGGATCCAAGCATGCAAATTGCTGCGCTCACCTTGTGAACCTCCAACTCGGCTCCTTGCTTTTCAGCTCCAGACTCTACCAACAACCTCTTTTTGTCGTCTGAGGTCAGGCGACTCCCAAGGAGTTTGATGTAGGCTTGAACTTCTTTCAAGTTGATCTTTTTCATGTGAAGCTCGGTCCATGCTACGTCGGCGCGGGCCAGGTAGGAATCCGAGCTCTCGTCGACCTTTTGCTGGCAACGGAAGAGTTCCACGACGTCGAACTTTTACTCAAGGTTCACTTGTCCAAATTGGCCGCCAACCGTTCTCACAATTTCCTCAATCCCTTCACGAGTTCCAGCGATCAACTCTTTGCGACGGAGTTGGAACTTTCCGAACGCAGAGCCCTTGGTGTTGAGAATGATGCCTGCGAGCTCGTTCAACCGCGTTTCTGGCCATACTGTCACCAACAACTCAATTTTTTGTGACCATTGTTCCACATTGTCAACTGCTGGGTCAAAGGTAGGGATCAGGGATGCAAGGTTGTTCCCCGATGCGCCAACATCCAAAGTCGTTGCTCCTGCGGACTCTGGCATGACCTCTAAACAACGTGGGCTCAATGTCAAAGTCCCTGCGTCGACCGTCAGGTAGCTCCGCTACTAAGTTCGAATCTCTGAAACTGGTAGGAAGACAAGCGAACAGGCGACGACCAACCACAGGCAATTGAAGTGAATTCCACCCAGCGGAGCCCGTCGCGCTTTTTCTATCACACCACTTCCACGTTCACGCTCCCTGAGCTCGTCCAGGATGTAGCCACCTTCCCAAGGCCCCCTGCTCCACCGATGGCTCAAGCCTAGAACCTCACCCGCCCTCCTCGCTCAAGTGGCAAAAAGGGCCGCGGTGTCGGGCGGTTCAGGGGGAACATGTAACAAGCGAATCTGCATTTACAGTAGCCCCTGGCCAAGCCTTTCCTTTACCCTCTTTGCCACACTTGCCAGCTTTGCCTCCTTGACCTTTGCCTTTGCCTTTGTCAAAGCTGTAGTTAGTTGTAGTGCTGCCATTGGCCCTTACCTTTTCCCTTCTTGCCTTTGTTCCTTTAGCTTTGCCCTTGTCCTTGCCTTTCACCCGATCAACCTCCATTGGCACAACTTCATCATGTCCGCGCACGTCGATCTTGACCTCTTTTGCCCATGTCAAATTCTTTTGTAAACAGTGTATGGCGACGTTGTCTGTTCAAATTACAACAACTTCTCGCTGCGGATCTCAGCATAGGTCGCGCTGTCCGTCATCAGTTGCACATGCTGCCGCAGAGGCATCACTCGAAGCAAACCAGAGATTTTTGTGTTCCGTACAATCTCCTGCGCTGACACCATACTCCTCAGCCAAACTTTCCAAGCCTAAAGAAGCTGCTCCAGGGCTCCAAGGCCTTTGTCTTTTGTTGCGCGCAGAATGCGCCAGCCCGTCAACTGTCCAGACAGCCCCACTTCCCTCGACCGTCCTGAGCAACTTCAGTGGTCAAATCCGGGGTAGGCCGACCAAGGTGCTATGCAATTGCTCTGCTCCGTCATGGCACCGGGCTCATTTCAACGAAGCCCTTAAGGTGTTGCAGACCCTACAGCTTCATTCAATCCTTCTCATACCCTTCGTCCACGAAAGTCAGCCATGAAAGAAAGCTCAACCTCCAATCTTGCCACAACGCTATCTCCTCTTCTTGATTCGCTGGTGAGAAAAATTTATGTTCCTTTTCCTTTGTCGCGCTCCTGCTTCATGGCTTGAGCACGCCTGTCACACTGCCTCGGGCGGCATGTAAATTGCGACGGAAACCGGTGTTTTTTTGCGACGGTAGGCCTAAATGTTCTTCAAAAATATAAATTGCAACGGAAACCGGTGTTTTTTGTGACGGTCAGCCTAAATGTTTTTCAAAAGTGATCGTGGAGTTCGTTGTGCGATCGAAAGATCAAGGAGTGTTTATTGCGACGGCGTGTTTTTTGCAACGATTTTTTTTGCCACGGTGTTTTTGTTTGTTTTGGTTGGACAAGCCACCAAGGAGTGGGAAACACGGAGTGTTTGGTGTGATGGTGTGTTTTTTGCGACGGTATGTTTTTGCGATGGTGTGTTTTTTGCGAAGGTGTGTGTTTCAGCGACGCGGTGTTTGTTGCGAATATATAGTCGTATATTTTGCAACGGGTACGGGCATTGTTGGCTTCGGTGGCAGGGTGTTTTTTTGCGACACTGTGTTTGTTGCACAGGTCGGTGGGCGCTTTTTGCGTCGATCAAAAATGTTTCTTGCACAGTGAAACTGTGTTTTTGCGTCGCAGAGGGATTTTTGCGACAGAGAGCAGGGTTCATAGCAACATCGGCTTAGATTCATTGCACGACTGTGGTGGATAAGAATGGTTTCGCGTCGGTAAGTTTGAATTGCGACGGAAACCAGTGTTTTTTGCGACGGTATTTTTTGAGACGGGATGTGTTTGGCGAACGTTCTGTGGGTGTTTTTTGCGACAGTGTGCTTTTCGCGACAGCTTGAATTTGGTGCACGTGTATTGGGACAAAGTATTTAGTAACAGTGCATTTTTCGCGAAGATGTGTGTTTCAGCAACGCTGTGACGCTGTGTGTGTTGCAAATATATGGCTGTGTATTTTGCAACGGGTACGGGTGTTGTTGGCTTCGGTGGGAGTGTGTTTTTTGCGACACTGTGTTTTTTGCGCAGGTCGGATGGTGTTTTTTGCGTCGGTCAAAAATGTTTCTTGCACAGTGAAACTGTGTTTTTTGCGTCGCAGAGGGTTATTTTGCGGCAGAAAGCAGGGTTTATAGCAACATCGGCTTGGATTCATTGCACGACTGTAGGGAAGAGGAATGCTTTCACGTCGGTAAGTTTTAGTTTAGGCTGTAAGGAGGACTTTATAGTAAGGAGCAAATTAAGGTAAAAGTAGAATGTGAAAGAAAGGGAGCATCGAAGATATCGCGCGGAGTCGAAGAGAAGTAGAGACAGCTAAGGTGACGATTGCTGACCGGGAGGGTGCAAGTTTGAAGGAAGAGAAAGTTAAACACGCAAAAGGTATCGGCAAAGATTGAGAAAAGCGTGGCAGATAGTTGAAACCTTTGTGGTGAAACTTGAAACATGAATTGGAGCAGCAAAAACGTTATGTACAGAGAGTATATGTTTGGGAGAAAAGGAGCGAAGTATGGCAGCATGCAATGTGTGGCTTTCAAGAAACAATTATTACAAGTGTGTGAGAAATCGATTTGAGCTGCGTGGTAATGACAATGAAAAGCAAATTGTAAAGGCAAGAATAAAGAGGACTTAGCTTGTCATGGAAGCGACAGCAACATCTGTAAGAAATCTCACTAAGCGGCGCGCAGCGCAGCAGAAAGGTGGCTTTGAGACGGGATAACCACGGCACAAACTTTCGGTCGCAGACGCGCGCTCTTCTGGAGAGCTCCGCTCCGCGGCGGGGAGGTGCTGCGCCCTCCCCCGCACCCCCTCCCGCTTTTGTAAAGGCTCACCCCCTGCGCGCGCTGCCGCTTCACGCACAAAGACTTGTCGTCGCTTTGCTCAAGGTTACACCCCACCTGTCCAATGTTTCATGTCAGCTGGCGGAGCTCGCTTCGCTCCGCTCTCCCCCAAAACCGAAGAGCGCACGTCTGCGACCGAAAGTTTGCACTGTGGTTTTCCCGTCTCAAAGCCACCTTTCTGCTGCACTGCGCCCCGCTCAATTTTGACACGAGCCTTTGTCAAACCATTTTTGTCTTCCTGTCCACCCCCCGCTTCGCCTCGCTTTGCTCAGCTGCGTGGCAGCGACAGGAAGCCAAAAGAGGTTTGACAAAGGCTCGGGTCAAAACTGAGCGGAGCGCAGTGCAGCAGAAGGTGGCTTTGAGATGGGAAAACCACAGTGCAAACTTTCGGTCGCAGACGTGCCCTCCTCGGTTTTGCTGGAGAGCTCCGCCACCCCCTCCCGCTCTTTTAAAAGTCCACCCCCTGCATGCGCTGCCGCTCGCTTCACGCACAAAAACTTGTCGTCGCTTTGCTTTGATGGGGCTTTCAAGGTTGCAACCAACCTCTCCAATGTTTCATGTCAACTGTCAGCTGGCGTATGTGCCCCTCTCCCGCTTTTTTAAAGGCCCACCCCCTGCACGCGCCGCCATTCCAGCTTCCCTCCATTTGCTTTTGGTTGCGCGCAAAGGCCTGCGTCAACTCTTTGCGCAGAGCAAAAAAAGACTATAAGACCGGCGCAACAAGGACCTCGAAAATAAGACCGGCGTTAAAAAAGACTCAAAACTAAAGGACCGGCGCAAAAGGGACCTCGAAAATAAGACCGGCGTAAAAACACATCGAAACAAAAGGACGGGCGCAAAAAACACCGAAGCTAGGATCGGTGCAAAAAACACCTTGAAGCTAGGACGGGCGCACAAAACACCTTGGAGCTAGGACCAGCGCAAAAAACACACCGGCAACAAAGGGATTCGAGGAAAGAATCGACGCAAAAAACACCTTAAGTTTGGACAAGCGCAAACAACACACTAGACAAGTAGGAATAACACTACTGTTTGGAATTACACTGGCTTCCGTCGCAATTAACACACGTCCCCACTGCCTCACCCGACTGTCTGGAGCTCTCGACCAACACCTCAGCCATCATCTTTTCTTCCCTTCAACTTCTCTTCCTCCTTCTTCTTTCGTCTTTTCTTCACCTCGGGTCCCTGTAACCTCACCCCCGGGTATCTTTCTAGAGACCCCCAGGTGGCTCCGCTACTATGAAAACATCTGCAAGCGTGCAAGAACGCTCCGGTTTTACCTCAAAAGCTTGAGCCTCGGTGGGCATGTAAAATGCCTTGACGTGAAATGGTGGATGTCTATCATTTTTGTGCACATATCATGTACATGTATTGTTGACAAGGTACGGCAAACACTTTATCGGCAAATCACCGACTTGAGCGCAAGGGAATTCCAAAGCAAGCTAGGGACATGACCCTTTGTTCGTGGTCGACTTGTTTTTTGCAACCTTTGTCTTTTTCACCTGCGGCTGTGGCTCCAGCACCCAATCCATGATCCATGTGTATGGTTGATTATGGTTCTACATTCTACATCCCAAGGCCACGGCATATTTGCCCATGATGAGATGTCTGAGAATCTGTTGCCTTTGCTTTGTTCCAATCAGAGCAAGTCTCCTGTTGTGGATTCCTGTAGTTCTGGCTTATATTCTCAGACAGGGGTTGATAGTTGCTATGGTTTTCCACCCGATCAGGGTCAAAGTCATTCCGGAACTGAAAAACAAAATGAACGAACAACCAATGCCTTGTCCTGTCGTACCAGGATGCTGCTGAGCCACACAATCTTCTTCCAAATTGCGCATGACTAGCCAACCCTTTACGTGAGTCATTGGCTAGTCCAAAGGTTTCACATCCTTTCATGACTGAGACTTTTTCCAAGGCCAAAACATCTAAAGACTCCCGTCGACACTCGTCGACACAAGTCTGAAAGCAATGTGTCGGCCGATTGGGTGAGACTGAGACAGATTCTTCAACTTCCGGCAATGTAGGCAATTGCTTAGTTACTAGTAGCTTCTTGTTACTAGTAGCAGTGCCAGGAGCCCCTAGTAGCATCCTTGCTCCTAGTAGTAAGGCCAGGAGCCCCTAGTAGCTTCTTGTTACTAGACTCTTGTTGATCGTTTTAAAAAAAAATATCAAGCGCAAGTGTTGACCAACCCGTTTGGACATTATGATATCAGCGAACAACCATTATATGCGAGCTTTTCTCGAACCTCAAAGGCCTGTATGTCGGTTGTTTGTACAAGTCGTTTCAAGGTGCGGAGTCAAGTGGCTTTGTTTACGCACTCCTCCTTGCTGGTTTGAGCCTTTAGCTCACATCAGCATCTCACCTTCACCATGGAACCTGATCGCTGTCTAAAAAGGGCATGTGTTTGTCCATGCGGCTGTACATCTCCATCTTCTGTTCATGATCACTTCGCTGGTTCAAATCGAACCACCTTCGCTCAAACTGCAGCGCATACTGCTTTGCCCTGAGACACGATCTTGCTCCAGGTGTATCATACTGTATCACCTCTAGCATCTCTGCGTCTGTCAACCATCGTGTAGTCGGCATTGACATTGTTGGGTCTTCATATCTCCTCTCTTCACTCGGGTTGGCTCTTGATGCCCCCGGTCTCTCTTCTTCATCTTCTTCCATAGGTGTGGGTCCTTCTTCTTCACTTTCTGGCTCCCTCGGTTGTACATCACGTGCTCGAACTGTGATGATTTCACCTGAGTCCAGACGAACTTGTACTTCATCATCTGGATCATGGTCTTCACCCTCACTTTCAGCCTCTATCAAGGTGTTGTCCCTGACGTTCAAATGAAGTCTCGTTTGAACAGCATTGGCTTGGAGATAGCTTTTGATCTGCCCATCCAATCTCCTCATATCAAACTCTCTGTTGGTGTCCTCGATGTAGTTCCAATGCTTCCAATCTTCTTCACCGAACTCACTGTCATCGACATAGCCTGAGGCCTTGATCAGCCCCCTGTGAACTCGTTGCACATAGTTCTTGAGCTTTGCCAATCCTTCTTGAGCTTCATGACCATAAGCTCCAATCATCATGCCATTCACTTTCTCATCATCCGTCACACTCTGAAGCCTTGCCTCCATTCTCTCAAGCTTCCTCCAGAGCTTATAGATGAAAAGGATCAGCACACCAATCACCATGAACAAGATCACAATGAGCATGCTTGTCCATCCGCTGCTTCCATTTGCTTGTGTAGTCATGTCACCTTCACCTCTCTCTCCAGCCACGTGCTCAAGGCCTTCAAGAAGTAGAATCCGGTTTAGCAGCTTTGCAAGCCTCTGGATCTTGCTCTTGCTTACTGCTCTCTCTTCAAGGTTGTGGTGCTCCTCCTGTCCGATTCTTTCACCATCCCCATTGTAGATCTGGCACCAATGCAGAAGGAGATTCACCCTTGCTTTTGGTAGTGGTTTTGTGCCCAAATCTGCAACATTGGAAACCGTCCCCACTGCTTTGACTTCGAGGTCTCCTTGCGCCACCATGTCCTGGATCCATAGGAGTTTTCCTGCAATGTGCCGCAGTTTTCCCGGACCTTTTCTGTGACATAAGTGAAGCGCTGCGGAGTTGTCAACTAGGCAGTAGTGAGTGACCTCCTCCTCAACTAGGAACTCAAGACACCTCCTCAAGTAAATGCCATCTGCTGCTCCACTGACCAGTGCATTTAACTCGGCCTCCGCTGAGCTCAATGACACTGATTTCTGGCCACGCGAGCTGGCCAAGATGACCGCCCCATTCAGCATGTGAATTGCAGCTGAGGTTGATCTTCGATGTCCTTTGGCCCCTGACCAATCACTGTCAGTAAAGGTCTCCAACAGCCATCTTGTTGTCGTACTCCTTGTTGAATGTCCATGGCCAGGATCTGGGTACGGCAGCAAACTGTGTTGTCCAAGTGTCCCCTTCAAATAGCCTACGAGCTTTCCCAACTTCTTCAGGCTTCCGGTGGTTGGTGCTGACATCGATGACGCAAGCTCTTTGATGGTGAAGGATACGTCAATCCTCTCCTGAGACAAGTAGATGCCACATCCGACCAAAGATCTGTACATGCTCGACAGCTCTGCATTCAGCAACGTTGCGCCATCAAACTCCAGCATCTCCGGTCCACATGGCAGCTTTTGTATCTTCACTCGTCCTAGCTTCTCCTCATATTGCTCAACCATGCTCTCTGCATACTTTCCGGGCAAAATCTTGAGACCTTCATTCACTTGCTCGTAGGTCCTTCGTAGGAAGGTGAAAGTCGTGCCGTTGTCAGACAAGTGTTGCTCTGAGATGTCGAATCTCTTGCGGATGTCCGGGAGGAAGGTGTTCTCCATGTAGTGCTTTGCGCTCACATACATCACATCATCTACGTGGATGAGGACCATCATCTGTTCACCTTTCCTTCCCAGACAGGGATTGATGTCTGAGAAACTGAAGCCTCTCTCCTTCAGCCAATCCGTAAAGTAGTCGAACCATGCCTTTGCTCCCAAGCGCTGGCCTGGTAGGTTTCTTTTCACCTCATAGTACCCCCGAGCTGTCTTCACCTGAGTAGGTTCTTCTTGGGGTACCTGAAGAAAGGCATCTTTGACGTCCATCGAACCCAACCAGTAGGGCTCACCTCCGCTCTTCTCTTCCAGCTTCTTCGTGAGGTAGATGATGGGAAGAAGGCGTAGTGTTTGGCCTCCTGTTGCCGGACTGTGCACATCATCTCTTCTGTCCACAGCATACTCTCGTGCCACCAATCTTGACCTTCTGAGAAACTGCTTGGGTGAGCCTGGAAGATCTGGTCGAGGCTTCACTCTCCAGTCCCTCGCGAACCGAGTTGTCAACCTTTTGAATCCAACCTTCTCCTCTTCCATGGCCTCCAGTACTCCCATGCTCAGAAGTCTCTGTTCTTCTACTGCATCGGCCAACTCATCGATCCAGAAGGGTGGATCCGGCGGCACTCTTTCCAAGGAAGCTGAAGACCACAGCTCTGCTGGTATCGCCACCTTTGAGTCTTCCTCTCCATCCCCTTCTCCACACGCTAAGATCTCCTCCTCTCCGAAGAACTGGTCCATGTGGTAGTAGGTATCCTGTCCAACTGCTGTTGCCTCTACTCTTCTCTCAACTTGCGGACCTCCTCCAGACGTCTTCAACCTCTTTGGCTCAGATAACTCCCCTTCACTCTCATGGATTGGTTTTGTTGGAGTCAACTTCAACCTCTTGGGATCTCCTGCACTTCCTTCCGCTTCCAAATTCATCTTCTGTGCCAAACTCCTGGGAGTAGTTACAGGAGCAGAAGGACCGGCCTGGTTGTTCTCCTCATCAATGCTGTTGGCATCTCGTGTCCTGATTTCTGGGACACTGACTTTCTCCTCTGCATAATCTTGCTTCTTTTCTTCTGCCAACTTTTGCTCCTCTGTCTGCCCTTCTTTCTCACTGGGCTGCTTATTCTCGACCTCCACCAAGTCCTTCACCTCCTCCAGCTTTCCAGCATAGGACTTGGAGAAAGCTATGATCTCGCGTGCATCATCATCATCAACAGCTATTCCCTTCGTCTCGGCTGTTGGCAGTCCGAGCAAAGGTCCTCCAACCATGGTTGCCACTCGCTTTGAAGGCACAATCCTGCCCCCAAAGTTCTGTTGGAACTCCCACGAGTAGGCTGTGAAGGCCTGATAGCAAGCCAGGTAGCGAGTGCTAGCATCTGCAACTCTCCTCAGGGACTTGCTCAGAAAGACTCTGTTCCCGTCTCCAATGACCCAAGCATCTTGTACCTCGGTCTTGCCAAGACAGATTCCAACTTTCCACCTTGGATCAGCTTTGAAGCCTTGCTTTTGCTTGGAATAAGCAAAGACAACCTCTCCAAAAGGGCATACCTTTCCCTCATAGGCTTTCCCGTGTGTGAGTTCGAAGCTTGTGGTGCCTCTCAACACTTGGTACCTGTTCAGCGTCCAAGCTGCGTGCCTACAGGCCCATGACCATAGAGGATGTTGGTGATGGAACCTGAGCCCGATCTTCTCCGCCAGACTCTCCATCATCGAAGCGGCTAGACCCCTGACTCTATGTACTGCATTCTCCGCCAAGGAATTTCCAGCTGAGTCGTAGAGTTTTGTTGTGCGCATTGTGGTCTTCAATCCCATCGCCGTCCTTGATGAAACCAGAAGACGAACAATCTGCCTGGCTGTCGGCTCATTGTCGCAGTAGTACTGTACCGCTTCATGTCCTAAGACTTGGGTGAATGCCAGCAACTCATGGGTAATGAGATTCATCTGGTTCTTCGATTTTAATGGGAGACCCAGCAAAGATCCGGTCTCTGAGCACACCGCAATCAGCCAAAGTGCACCACTTTCTTCATCATGGACACCCTCTTGGGCTTGGTCCTCCTCCTCGGCTCCCAAAGCCGCTGACCCTTTCGCTTTCACTTTGCAAAAGTCGAATGAGATGGTCGGGCATCCTTGATCATGCGACTTACCACTTCTCCGGTGTTGGTCTGGTCGCGCGCGATGCTTGACGCAAGCTGGACACCAAGGGGCGTAAGGGACGTGTGTCAGCTCGTGAGCTTTCCTCTCAGCTTCTGTTGGGACTTTAGCTGCCACCTGCTCAAGTGGGATCCTCTGCCCCATAGCTTGTCCTCTCGCAGCCAAATCTCTTGCCAT